TTGTACATGTATTCAGGACTTCAAAGTGGGCATGCTCACATGTTTTGTGAGTGAAAACAGCTTTCTCCTGCCTCCCTCATTCAGAGACACGCTGCCCCAGGTCTTGCAGATTTTATAGACTTTTCTCACCCTCTTGCAGACAAGGGTTGAATTTTGGAGAGGAATGGGGATGCTGGAGGGATTTGATTTTTGCTAATTCCAGCACAAACTGCTGGATCTATACCGCTTGGGCTAACATCCAGATCAGAGCAGAGCAGATAATTCATTCATTCAAAGTATGAGTCACCATATAACTCATACCTTCTGGATGAGGTACACAACAGAAACAAAACAAGATTAATACTATCAATAGCTTTAAAAAGGCCACCCTAATATAATGCATTGGCAAAAAATAATTCAAAAATTAAGACAGATTCTAAAACAGCAACAAGGCAGTAAAAACAAAACATCTAAAACAATCACAGCTCAAAACATAACTTCAGTGAACTAAGATATGAAGTGCAAAATGTAACTGGGCAATACCAAGAGATAATGGGTTAAAAAGTTTCAGAGAATGAAAAGGGGCTTGCCTCGTGTCATAAGAATGACAAGGAAGGAAGGAAGGAAGGAAGGAAGGAAGGAAGGAAGGAAGGAGGCAACATCCTCCAGAGGAGGCATCATTGCGTGGGGAATGCTGTGAAAGAGGCCCAGTCATGAGTAGCTACCCCTTGAATTTCAGTGCAGAGCAGTCCTTGGAGCAGGGCTTCTGATGCTGACCTCAGGGCATTGGTAGGCAACTGGGGGAACAGGTCCTGTGGCCACAAGCCATGAAGGCCTTCACGAATCAAAAACACTTTTCTGCTTAAACACCTGCATCCCATGAAGCCGTTTGGCGGGAGGTTCCAGACAGATAAAAGGACATATTTATTCACACATCACATAGTTGCACACAATGCAATTCACTTGATGCAGTGATGACCACCAATTTGGATGGCATTGAAAGCAAGGTTAGATAAATTCATGGAGGAGGAGGCTATCCGTGGCTGCTACTTATGATAGCAAAGGTAACAAACATGGGGGAAAAGAGCAGGATGTGTGGCCACAGTACTGAACAGTCAACTTTGGACTTTTCCCTGGTGTTGGAGCTTTGCCTTTGCCATGCAGCTCTCTGTGCTGTAGTGAAGTTCTCCGTTTTCAAGTATTCGAATATGTTCTCTGCTTCTGTACTAGTTAATGCTCTATTCCCTTCAACAAGTCTCCCCTTCCCAGTTGTGCACATCAATTGCAATTATGTGGCTTTTCAGCAAAATGGCTACCAGCAGGAGAACCTTAAAAGTACCAAATGACATTTTCAGACACATTTCATGGTGAGAATTGCTTCTTGCCTTGTCAGATTAGACACAGAATCCTTTTACTTCCTTTTCAAAGTATGAATTTAAAACCCTGCTTTTCAAGACGGAAGGCTGCTTTATGTATTGTGTAAAAATAAGTGCCCTGAAAGGTGGCCTTCTCCCAGATCAGCCTACCTAAAAGTTAAGATCCATCTGAGGGCCCACCTGGATACTTCCATCTTCATTAGGTAGGCAGATGGAGGCTGGATAGAAGCTTCTTTCTTCAGAGGCATCCCATTTGTGGAATACCCTCCCTGGGTAAGGCATGAGCAAATTAGTCTACAATGGTCCCATGACACTTTTTATGTTGAATTTTGCAAACATAAGTTTCTTCCATCCATTTTCTGCTTCACTCTGTAAGTTTTTTTTAAGAAAAAGCATGAAAATTCATTTTGATGTTGATATGCATCTTTCTGTACCATACATATCTTGAATGCAACTGTCCCAAATACATATATTTTTCTGCACATCTTTCAGTAATAGAGGGCTGGAGATGCTTTGAAGAACCAAAATCAGTTTTTGAGAAACTCTTTAGGCTGCACCCCATTAGAAGCTGGCATCCAAATGAAATTGTGGTGACAAAAATGCAAAAAAAGAGAAGAACAAGTCCAAAATATCAGCCTGCTTTGGTTTAAACCTCTGCGCTAGTCATGAAGCCATATGAAAGTCAGCTCAGCTTTTTAGAATGGGGTACAGAAGCCCGGAAAACACCAAATGTCCCCCCACTTTCTCCCCATGACTGATTCTTTGGTCTTCTACAGGAGATGGAACCATTTGGAGAACCATGGGGAAGGTGGACTTGGACACCAGGAGGCCCAGATTTGTCTCACTGGCCTGAGGTTCTTCACCCCTGCCCTAAGATATGCTTATTTTGTATACCCCTTATTCTAATATTGGTTTGTTGTTGTTGTTGCTAGTCACGAAGTCGCATCCGACCCATCGCGACCCCATGGACAACATTCCTCCAGGCCTTCCTGTCCTCCACCATCCCCCGGAGTCCTCTTAAGCTCACGCCGACTGCTTCAGCGACTCCATCCAGCCACCTCATTCTCTGCCATCCCCTCCTTCTTTTGCCATCTACTGTTCCCAGTATTAGACTCTTCTCCAGGGAGTCCTTCCTTCTCATTAGGTGGCCAAAGTATTTGAGTTTCATCTTCAGTATCTGGCTTTCCACTTCACTTTAAAAAAGTGAATTAGATTAATTCTTCTCCATTTCTATCTTCTGTCATGTATAAAATATGTTAAGGGTGCAACCCTCTGCATCACTGGACAGAAAAGGGTCCTGTGAATCTTGACACGCTGGCTGGGGCATGCAGGTAGCTGTAGAATTTTATCTGCCTAAGCATGCATAGGGTTGCATCCTAAATTCATTGTTCAATAAGATTTATAGAGGGACTCAAGTAAGCGATCTTATAGATTAATCTGATCTGAGTTGAGATAGCTTCTCCTGGAATAATTGGTTTTGCTTTTTATTGCTGTTTTCTTTTGTCTGCATGCATTCGTAAATTATAAATTGCTTTAAATATTTTCAAGGGGAGTATATACAGGTTTTAAAGGGGGTGGGGAGTTAACAGAATATACAACAACCAAGTGCAGATCATCCTGTCCACACACTGGATAAATTTTAATGCAGAACAGAATCTGAAAGAGGCTTTCTTAAATAAAATGTACCTTCTTTCTTATCAAATTAGATTTTACTTTCATTTTACAGAGGGGCTTTTAGTATTACATTCATGGGATAATAATCTATCATCAAATTAACTTTGCTCTTAGGTTATTTCTAGTTTTATGAACTGCTTTTTATTCTCAACAGGTTGTTTCATTTTGCTGTTATAATGTTTTTAATGTTTTGCTTAGGGCACAGTAGAAACTACTTAGCTGCTTTATATTAACTTTCATGGATGTCACGAAACACCTCTCATTTCTTGTGATTTTTGACACTTGCAAACCTCTTCATATTGTTCCGATGCTAATAGAAAAATGACTTAATATGCGAGAAGTAAATTTGTGCCAATGAGCTTTTATATCTGAGACATTTATTGTGTGCTTGTCATTCCCTACTCATGGTTGTTTATGAGTTCTTTAGATATTGTGGTCCTCCAGTTTTATTTCATTAAATAGCATTTTCGGTGAGCCTTTTAGATAGGGGAAGATGCTATATTATTTATGAAGCCAAAGAAAATGCTTTTTCCATCTGTGTAATTCTACTGTTCTTCTATACCATACTGCCACCTTGAGGTTTATGGTGGAAAAGCAGAAAAGAAAATGTTCTTCATAGAGTGTTCAGATCTCAGCTCCGCAATGTAACCAAAAGTAAATGTAGCCAAAGGCACACCTGTGCGCATGTGTGTGCATGCACACACAGACAAGCGCACACACAAACACACAATCTCTCAATAGATATTCAATTGGTTTTAGTATTGTTTGGTGTTCTTGTGTTGCTGCATGTTTGAAATACTTTTGTCGTCTCCTTTGTGCCTATTCTGGTTACCCGTATTTGGCATCACTGCCCTTGCAGTTGTGCAGTTCTGTGCAAGTTCCTTTGAACACAGTGAGGCTTACTTCTAAATCAAAGCCCTAAAGGTCACCCTGGACCCCTGATTGGCTGTGGTGACAAATGCGGTTGTCCTCCTTCCATGATATCACTTTGCAGTATTTGGCATGGTTATATCATAGGCACCATTAACACACACACACACACAAACACCTGCATCAGCCCAGCCAATTAGATTGAAAAACAAGATCAGTGAACACAAAGAATAAACAGTTCATAGAAGAACCGGCCTCCAAGGAATGAGAGGGGAACCAACATGTTGAAATCAGTGCATGGTCCGTGAAACCTTTGATTCTCTTGCACTTTTATACTGCACAGTGCCTTGAAACCTTGTATACATGACCACTCTATGGATCCATGTTTTCAATATGGATTAATACATGATTGATTTTTAATTTGATTACAAATTTCACATGAGATATGGTAACCAAGATTATGTTGTTCGAATACCTTTTGCTTTTTTATACAGAATCGAAAACTGGGGCTTCTCTTAGGGTGCCATTCCATGGCTGCCTAACATCCTGGAAGGCCATAGGATTCTTCAGGAGCTCAACCCCAAGTTCTTGCACTCTTGAAGGCCAAGCCCCTGCCCTGCCTCCCTGGCAGCTGGTGCAGAAAGACCTGTTCTAGCTGCTTCCATGCCTCCAAGCTCGCAACTGGACCTCGGGGTCGGGGGAAGGGGGTGCTGGGGCTATGGCTATGGACCCATTTCAGTCAGCCCCCTTCCTTCCTCTTCCCTGGCCTTAAGCCTAGATGGCTGAAAACAATCATCTAGAGAATATACTCAATGTGAGGCACCGTGGCGGTGGCGATTCCCATTGGCATGTCTCATTTTGGAGCCCTTCAGATTCAGAGGCTTGCATGCATTGAGGGCAAGGACATAGAACCCAGCCCTTAATGACCTCTTCCTGTAATTTGCTAATAGCAGGTTTGATTTCTTTGTGCACTGATATCCATTGGTCTATTTGCAGTGCATCAAAAGTACCAAAGGTCATTCTTTTAGCCATTCTGGAGCGTGTGACCCATATATTGGCATCTGATGTTACCTTTCTTTTCTTTCTTTCTTCTTCCCTCAGTTAATCCCCAGCATGCAGAAACAGCAAGAGCAGTGTCAGATATTTACGGTCATCCTCTTTGCATCTATTTTCCTGCTAGCAGCCGTGAGCATTACTGAAGCTGGCAAAAAAGAAAAACCAGGTAGGGTGCTATTAATTATATTGCCAGTTGTGTAGACAAGTGATAGCACATGTAGCTTTCCCTTTCCATGTTTGCATTATACATGTGTTGGTATTACAGTTGTTTTGTTTTTCAGAAAATCTGCATTATATTTCAGCTACTTGCGAAACTATTATTCTATGCTGGAATTACCCCTCCATCCATCCCTTGTGCATATCAGTGATCTTAGATACCTTTAGATGAATTGCTGCAACAGATGGAAAGATGTTCCAAGAAGTCCATCTAGTCTGATGTGCTGTTGTGCGGAACAGCAATCCCTATATCAGCCCATCTATAGCATAAATAGATCAACCTATACATGTTAGCTGACACTGTGTCATCTTTAGATGATAAAAAGAATGTCTTCCAGGTAATGATTAAAAGTTTCAGTCTTGTACCACAGATTTGGGAAGAAGCCCCATTGGACTCAGTATGATTTGCTTCCTGGTAGGCATGCAAGATCCGGATGCCAGTCAGTCATCTAGTACCCCACTAGGTCCCCGTGTCATCTATGCAAGGCTGTCTGAAAGCTGGAGTAATGCAGACAGCAGCAGCAGCTTGGCTGTTCCCAGAGCTTCCCTCATTTCTGCTTGCTGTCTGAAAGCTGGAGTAATGCAGACAGCAGCAGCAGCTTGGCTGTTCCCAGAGCTTCCCTCATTTCTGCTTGCAATTCCTTTGCTGAGGGAACTGCACTGGCAGCCGATTTGCTGCTGCACTGGGTGTAAGGTTTTCATGCTAAATAACTGGGGGCCAGGATACCGAAAAGAAGACCTTCACCCTGACCAGCCTTCCAGGTTGCTGAGGTCATTGGGTGGCATATCCCTGGTGGTTCCCCATGGGCCTATGGAGCTCATCTGGAGAAGAGACTTCAGCGCAGTAGCTCCATTTCTTTCTTCTGGAGATCAGGAAGGTGCCAGCACTGTTGTTCTCAGTGCCTCCTGCAAGAACTTTCATTTTGGGAAGTTGCCTTGAACTGACAAATCATGATGTTATTGATTTGTTTTTTAACGTATCGCCTTATTTTTCAAATCTGGAATCTCCATACTGGGATTTCAGGCGAAATAGCTTCACTAGGGCTGATATTTTTCAGTGAAAGTTATGAATTCATCACAGACTTTGGGCTACTTAGTGATATAAGAAAGTATCAAAAGTGTATGCATCTAAGGTCTGAAGTCTCCTATGAAATAAGCCAAACAAACTGCAAACCTGAGCATACCTCATGGTGGTCTTTGCTCAGGGCCAGCCATACTCAGGGGATCCATCCTTGATGTGCTGTCTACTTGCTGCCAACAAGTCAGTTCCAGGGAAAGCCCTGACATTCCTAGGAGCAGGCGCTTCTTCAGAGAAAGATGCTGTTCCATCAAGGGCAAGCCATTCCTCCTCATCCCACAGTCCTTATAATCAAGGCTGCAAATGAAGTTTTGGAGTCAGTGCATCCAGGAAGATGCCCAAACTGGTTTTAGCTGTGCAAATTATTCTAAATACTGTTTTAAACTTTGCATTCAAATTTTATTGTATCTGCTTTTCTGGTTGGTGGCAAATTGTTGTTTACCACCTGGAGAGTTTGGCTATTTGATGGTGTAGAAGTGAAATTCAAGAGACTAATATTCTTCATCAAGTCCCAGTTTGGCACTCTGATGGCACCAACTGGAGCCTCCACGTGGAGTGGAGGTGAAATTACCTCTGGCTTGTGATGAACTGAGCCCAAATTAACTCATTTAAGGAGAACTCCATGCAAATTGAGCCCTGGTCAGCAGTTGTTGATCCATTGGTTGCTGACATTTGCTGTGCTTGTGATGGAAACATCTGGAGGAAATCTGTCTAAGGACAGCCGAACCACCAAATGTTCAGGCAGAAGAAGATCAGCTGTGTGCTTGGTTTAAGGGAATGAGAGCTTCTGTTGGTCATGTGCATTCATTTATTCTTCTCCCCTGAGGCAGAGATTCAACAGATGCAAGAATGTCAAGAGTTTTGTGTTTTGTTATGAAATACAGCAGGGAGTGGGGGGGAATCAGCCTCTTTTTTTGGGTAGGAGTGGGGAGAAAAAGTGACTGGGGACTTGCTGAAGTGACATGATGCTGATGTTGTGTTTCAGTGGAAATGGAAATAACGGAAGAATTAAGTGCAGTCAAATCTGACGACTTGGGAGTCATTGGGAGCCAGGAAGAAATATAATACAGAACTTACAAAATTAGCCCACTCAATAAAGCTTTGGCAGGACCACCTCCTGGTATGGGACTAGGACTGGCAGTAGGAGGCACTGCTTGGCAGTGGTTCCGCTCCTACCTCGACAGCCGATTCCAGTAGGTGGTGCTGGGGGACTTTGGCTCTGTGCCATGGCAGCTATGCCATGGAGTACCGCAGGGGTCCATTCTGTCCCCCTTGCTATTCAACATCTACATGAAACCACTGGGAGAGGTCTTCAGGAGGTGTGGGCTGCAGAATCATCAGTATGCTCTCTTTTTCAACCGATCCAGGTGAGGCAGTGGCTGTACTGAACCGGTGCCTGGCTGAGGTAATGGGCTGGATGAGGGCCAATAAACTGAAGTTCAATCCAGACAAGATGGAGGTCCTGTTGGTGGGTGGTTTGGGCTTTGGGGTAGGGAACCGGGACCTTGTCCTGAATGGGGTTGCACTCCCTCTAAAGGACAGGGTCCGCAGCTTGGGAGTGCTCCTCGACCCAGAGCTGTCCCTGGAGGCTCAGGTGACTGCGGTGGTGAGGGGCGCTTTCCTTCAGCTTCAGTTAATCCATCAGCTGCATCCCTACCTGGAGGACGATTGCCTAGTGACAGTGACACATGCATTGGTTACTTCCCGGTTGGATTTCTGTAATGCGCTCTACGCGGGGCTGCCTTTGAAGACAGTCTGGATACTTCAGATGGTGCAAAATAGAGCAGCCAGGTTGCTGATGGGGACTGGGCATTACTCTCATATAACCCCAGTCCTCTGCCAGCTTCACTGGCTTCCCATCGAAGTCCGGGCTCAATTCAAGGTGCTGGTTATTATTATAAAGCCCTTAACAGCTTGGGACCTGGATACCTGAAGGAACACCTTCTTCCATATTTGCCCTCCCACCCCCTGAGATGGGCAGCAGAGGCCCTCCTCCGGGAACCCTCCGTGAAAGACATTAGGAGGCAAAGTACCCGGAGGAGGGCTTTCTCTGTGGTGGCGCCCTGCCTATGGAATGAGCTCCCCACAGAGGTCCGCCTGACGCCATCATTATTTGTTTTTCGGTGCCAGGCTAAGACCTTTTTATTTCAACAATATTTTAATAACTTTTAACTTCAGCTTATAGGTTTTAATCTGCAGCCAGGGTGGATCTGGATTTTATTTGTATTATGTTTTATGTTGTTTTATGCTGTTTTATGTTGTTGTTGTTATTATAGCATTTCTATGCCCCCCCTTGCCGAAAGCTGTCCTGAGGCTATGCGATGGGACAGCATACACATACTCTAAATAAATAAATAAATATATAGGAGCATGGCAGGAAAGCTCCAGGAAAATGGAAAGCTGTTCAGGATGGTAGAGTTGTTGAGTCCCATATTCAGTTAATTGCAGCAATTCAGCTTGCTTTCTTGCTGCCCAGGTAATTCTACAGTGGTTAGATGCTGGATTGTTTCCCCAAGAGGCAAGTGAGACAAGAGGGGGGAAGCTGTTTGGCTTGAGGGCTGCAGGCATCATCGGTTAGGTCACTGGGTGCCATTCAAGCACCTGCTCGTGTGCCCTCCTCTCTTTTGGCCCGTGGGCCAACATACACAAGCACCTCTCTGCTCCCAGCACTAACGATAAATAGACAGAAGAAGGACCCACAAAAGAGCTAATTATCCACTGTCCTTTCTGCTGCTGGAGGTGCTCACCTTCCTCTGAACGTAGGGCCAGTCCTGTCACTTGGCCAGAGCTCCTGGGTGCTCCTGATTCTTATTCTGTTTCCAAAGATTTTCTTCAGCTTCATCTTTGGCTTGCTACTTTGCTTGTTTATCACCTGGGAAGTTGCCCTCCAGCCCCATATTTCTTTGGGTTCAATACAGTGGAGCTCAGTTTTGGGCAAGATACTTTCCCCTTGGCCTTGCCAGTTTGGTTTTTGGGAAGCGAGTGTCTTGTGACTGCACTTGTCTCTCCTGGTAGCAAGTTCTCGTGGTAAGCCCATTTGTGAGATGATTCAATGGCATGCTGCCAAAATCTAAGAGCACCCACCACCCCAAAAAGCAGAGGAGCTCTTCCTTCCTCCCTCCCTCCCTCCCTCCCTTCTGCTCAGCTCAGCTCAGCTCAGCTCAGCTCAGCAGCACTGCCCTTGCTCCAGCTGAGCCAGCTTTTCCCACCCTTGCCTTTCCTGGTGGAAGGATGAGAGGGCGAGAGCCATGGGAAGCCAGCTGAGTCTGCCACTCCAAGACCCAGGGATGCCTGGGAGTGGTGATGGCTCTGTGAGCCTCTTCCCTCTCTTAAAGGTAAGTCATGAGCGGCCTTCAAGGCACTTGCATGGCAGGAGCTTATCCTGGGGCTGCCCCCACTTTGCTTCTAGGAGGTGGCAGGAACTTCAGAGAGGGAAGGGAGGCCGCTGGGTGCCTGGTGAGCAGAATTCTTCCTGCTAGCCTGATGTTCCCCAACCCTGTATAATACGGCTATAAAGCAGAGTATTTATATTGATTTCATATTCACTTTTCCCCATTTAGATTTCCCCTTCTTTTCCTGCAAGAAACCCAAAGTGGCTTCCATAATCCTCCCCTTGTGTTTGATTCTCACAACAGCCCTGTGAGGTAGGTTAGGCTGAGAGTCAGTGGCTGGCCCAGAGCTGCCCAGTAGGCTCCATGGCTGAGTTGGGACTGGAACCCAGTGCTCCCAAATCCCAGTCCAGCGTTCTACCCACTGCACCACAGCAGCCCTCCAGCACTCAATATAGTACCTCGATGGATGGGTTGGTGATCCTGGCCAATTGGCAGGACTGGTCCTCCATTCAGAGCAAGGGGAGCAGAAAGGGAAGTAGATTATTAGCTTCGCTGGTCCTTTGTTGGGCAAGACACCCACTGCAGGTTTCAATCAGGGCTTTAAAGGAACTCTCCACAGCCCAGAACCTTCTTAGAGGACAGGGTCCAGGATCCTGGATAGCTCCTTAAAAGTTCAGACTGAAATCTGGGGTGGATACACTGCCCCACTGGCCCTGGAATCAGCAGCCTCCATTGGAAACAGTGTGTGAGATCAAAAAAGGAGGCTGTTCAGAAACTGGGTCTGAGGCACAGCTGATGCCAGGCACAGGCAAGCAGTGCAAACCAGGGCCGGTCCAAGGAGCAGGGCTCCCCAGGGATCCAGGGCTCTGTGCCACAGGAGAACCATCCCAATAAGAAGCAGGGCCAGGACAGCTGGTTACAAGCTCCTGGAGCTGAAATGCAAGTGATGTTCCAGCAACGCTTCCTGGATAGGACCAGGACTTATGCATGGTCCTGCACTGACTATTTCCTCCAGTCGGGATCATTTCATCTGAGAGAAAAGAAATTGCTTTGGAACTGAATTCAGAGGGGAATAAAATTCTGAAGGGGGAGTTGGAGGTTCTTGGGCTTATGTTATTGGAAGTGCCAGAGGAGGGTGTGTGAATGTCCTTGCTTCACTCTTCCTGGACAAGCACATGGAATAATATGCAGCCATCCTTCAATGTTTGCACGTCTTCAAATTTTGCAGCACAGTTTCAGCTCAAGCAAATAGCAAAATGTATAATAGAACATATTTTGGAGGTAAAATATATACAAAAATGAATTAAATGTTAATCTTCATGTGTGCTTTAAAATAAATAGAAAATTGGAGACTGATGCAAGGGAAGCAACAACTTTATATATGAGAAATTGCACAGGACATAAATAGATTGATCTAATCATTCTTCACAGAATTTCCCCTTGGGTCAATTATAACCTTCTTTTTTAATTCCCTGAAAATTTTCAGATTTCCCCCTGCCCTTGGCAAGAATCTCTAAATTGATGTTAAACTTTTTGTTAGGAGAAATCTGACAGAAACTCTAATTTCTCTTTTAATAAGATTATTTTCTAATGTTTTATGTACAATGTCATCTCTTGTTCCAAACCATTAACCACTCGTGAGTCCTTGTTTGTTTGAGTTTAGCATTGCACTCCACTAGCAGTGTATGACATCTTCAATTGGGCTACCGGGAGGAATTATCTTTGCTTTGTTTATCAGTGAAAACCTAAACGCTTTGATTAAAACAGACAAGCTGTGCAGATATCCATTATGCTGCATTTCATTTCTTTTTGTTTGTTGCTGTATATACATCAGAACAAAAGCAGAATTTTATAGGGACAAAACTTAGAAAGAAAACAGTTTTCGCTACTTATTTGCAATGTGTGTCTAGTGCTGCATAGCTGAACAAATTCAGAAGGGTTGAATAGTAAAAATATTGAAAGAATAAAACATGATATGCTGACTGATAACTGGAAGACATTGTGATAAGGAGTTCTGTGTGAACTGATAAGTGTGAACAGTGTCCAGCTCAGGCATTAAGTGTAGCCATAGATACTTGTTAGCTTAATTGCTGCGAGTCTTCTTGGAGGTATGAAAAAAGCATGCTCACTCTTTCTTTTGCTGAGGTAAGTTGGGCCTTTTCTCACCTCCTTCCATCCCTTGTCTCCCCAGAACAGGGCCTCTGAAACACACACACAAAGGATCGGTATAACAAATCTGGCTCTTCAACCAAGGAAGGCTTCCTGAAATAAGGAGGTTTTCGGGCGATGAGAGAAGCAGTACAATTTTGGTGTCTGTCTGCCCTTCAGGAAGTTCCAGAGAAATGGAGCCTCTGCACTGAGGGTGCCTCTTTGGATGGACTCCCCATTGGCCCACAGGTCCATGTGGAGCCTGCGTGGGACCAGAGCATGATGGAAAAACAGCAGTGTTGTTATTGATGTTTTGTCATGTTGTCTCCATCTTTATAAGGTTTAATAAAGGGAGAACCCAGTAACACTGTTGCCTCTTCTCCCCCAGTCATACCAATGCATGTGTGGGACTCTCCTAGCACTGATGCCCAATAAATTGCTTTATTTCCGCTTTCCCAACTCCTGATTTTCTGTATTTGTCAAAGAGAAGACCTAGTTTTTATGTGAAGGCACTGATGGTCTGTCCTTCCTTCCTTCCTTCCTTCCTTCCTTCCTTCCTTCCTTCCTTCCAGAGAGGAAGGTGAAGAAAACTGACTGTGGCGGCTGGCAGTGGAGTGTGTGCGTTCCTACCAGTGGGGACTGTGGGCTAGGGACTCGCGAGGGCACCCGGAGTGGCGCTGACTGCAAGCAAACAATGAAGACCCAGAGGTGTAAGATCCCCTGCAACTGGAAGAAGCAGTTTGGAGGTACTCTGTTCCTGGGCCTACCTTTACCATTATGCTAAGAAGGATGACTGCCACAAGGACCCATTTAATTGAATATAGTTGATCAATCCATAAAGCCCTTTTTATTTGATGGGTAGGACATCCCAGATGAACAGGTAATCCCTCCCTCCCTCCATTTACCCCGACAACTGCAGTGATCAGACACATTCATGAGATCACAACATGCAGGCTGACCTGCTTATCCCTATCTTATTTTAACCTCTGCTTTGCTTACATTTCAGTTGAGGATCAAGGGAGCACTGCATGCTTAGACCGAAACAGTTGTATGGCTTGGCCTGCTGGGAATGGTTGGGCTGCTAGCACGTATAGGATTGTGCACTAAGGGTTTGGTTTAAGTTTTCCTTTTCATCCTCATCTTCTTTCCAGTCTCAAGTTCTTTCCATTCCAATTTGTTTTATTGATTACATTTCCACGCTGCTCTTTAGCCCACAGGGTTCTCTTATGAATACATTTGCAAATTTGGAAGGTTCTTGTATAGCAGTATTTTAAAACAACATCAGCAACAAAATTCTCACCTTTGTATATCAGCCAGATTCGATAGGTACAGCTATTCCCAGCATGGAAAGGTCCTTGTAGCTGCCATGGAAATGCTAAAAATGATGGACTTAACAGAAAAAGTTTGATTCAGCACTAACATGGTTGAATGTGCAGCAATCCAAACCCAGCCTCTTTAGAGCTCCAAGCCCGCTATTTGAAGAGTTTACATTTATGTACATGGGGTACCACAGGGCTCTATTTTATCCCCCAGTGCTGTTCAGCATCTACCTGAAACTGCTGGGGTAGGATATGCAGAGGTATGGGCTGAGATGTTCTCAATATGCTGCTGACACTCAGCTCTATCTCTCTTTTTCATCCAACCAGGTGAGGCAGTGGCTGTTCAGCATCTGTATCTGGGCTAGGTAATGGATTGAAGGAGGGCCATTCAAATTAAGAATTAATCCAGATCAGATGGAGATGCTGTTGGTGGTGGTGGTAGGGTCATCTGTCCAGATGGGTGACATTAAGCCTGTCCTGGATGGGGTTGCACTGCTCTGAAAGGACAGGTTCCTACTTTGGGGATGCTCCTGGATCCTGAACTGTCACTGGAATCACAGGTTGACTCCGTGGCTTGGAGCACCTTCCATCAGCTTTGGCTGATTTTCCAGCTACTTTCCTACTTGGATGAATGGAGCCTTCAGGACAGTGATCCATGCTCTGGTACCCTCTCATCAGGACTGTTGCAGTGTACTCTACCTGGGGCTGCCTTTGAAAACAGTCAAGAAACGTCAACTGGTTCAAACCAGGGCAGCAAGGCTGCTGATGGGGACTGGCCGATATGAACTCCATTGGTCTTCTTCCAACTCCATTGGTCACCATCCAGGCCCAATTCCATGTGCTCACGTCAATATTTAAAGCTCTAAATGGCTTGGGGCCAGGTTAGCTAAAGGCACGTCTCTTCCCATATATTCCTACCCAGACCCTGAGATCATTTTCTGAGGTCCTTCTCAGAGAGCCACCCCTATAGAGAATTAAGAAGGTGGATACTCGGGGAAGGTCCTTCTTAGTTGTGGAACCACAGCTATGGAATCAGCTTCCCAAGGAGGTGTGCCTGGTGCCCACTCTTTATTCCTTCTGGTACCAAGTTAAAATCTTTTTATTCGCCCAACATTTTAACAGTTAAATAATTTTTAATCTTTTCATTAAATTTGTCTTCATTTTGCCTATATTGTATTTTACCACATCTTATTGCTAGTGTACCCTAGACTAATTTGAGCATGGCTGTTGTAGGCTTCTTGTTGTTTTATTGTTGTTATTTGATTGATGTATTATTTATGCTTGATTTTAATGTTCAATCTGTCATTGGATATTGTGTTTGTCTATATATCTTGTGAACTACCCAGAGAGCTGTTCTGGCTAATGGTTGGTATAGAAATTAATTAATTAACTAAATACTCCCACATAAATGGGTATAGGATTGCAGCCTTACAGGGTTATTGACTTGATGAGATGCTAGAGGATCGTAAGAGCTCATCTTTCTGGTGGCATCGCAAAACTCAAGTGAATTTTCAAGTTCCATTCATCTGTCCATGAGTTAAGGAAAGGAATGCAAATGGAATGGAAAAAGATGGCTCTGTCAGGCCGAGTGGGTTAATTAGCTCATCAAAGTCCCTGGGACAAAGGGAAATTTTGAGCAAGAGGGATTCGGTTTGATGAGACAGTCAAAAGATACAGCAAGGCTGAAACAGTAATTAAGAGCAACAGTCTATGGCCCATGTTCGCGGAAGCGTGCAATGCTGTTAAATTAGGCATTTGTCTTCTGCCCTGTTGGAGCTGCATGGAACTCTTATTTTTGATACAGGAAGTAAGTGGGAAAACATGGTGGAAATGCAATATTCTCGTCAGATGAACAGAGGCACACGATTAATTCAGGTTCACACTGAAACATTGGGAGGGATGCAACTTATAGGTATGTGAGGATAGCATGTGGAGGAGGGCGGTGACCTGTTCTTCCCTGCAGTGGAGGGCAGGATGTGTTTCAATGGGGCAAAGTTCAAGGAACCAGGCTTCAGGTTGGACGTCAGGAAGTACTTCCTGATGGTTAGGACCCCTAGGATATGGAATGGGCTTCCAAGGGAGGAAGAATATGGACCTTCTTCCAATGGAGGTCAAGGACTCATCTGTGAGGCAAGGAAAGACTGGACAACCACATCTTGGGGATTGCATGAGTGGAACTGGCTGGAGCCAGGGGTCAGACTAGATGGCCCAGGAGGACCCTTCTGACATGCTTTGTTGCTATGAAAAATTCCAGTTTGTCATAGCTGGGCAAGGCTTTTTTCAGTAGCTTGGAGCTGATGGAAACATTCAGTCTGTAGCACCAGTGCTGGCACCCATTTTGGGGCGTCCATGGGTGAGACACTCCCTGTGGCTCCCTTCTTTCAGTGAGGCCGGCTTCCCACTGCCATGGTCACCAGCTGCTCTTGCTTGCCACCTTCATCCCCATCCTTGCTGCCACTGGCAAGCTTCACAGGCACAATGCCAGGGAGACTGGAGGACATGACATCCAATCCTCCTCCTCTTCCTCACCGCCACTGTTGTCTGGCCAAAGAAAGAGGCAGTTGAACAAGAAGGTTGCAGCAATGAAGAGGAGGAGCACCTCCAAGGAGCCCTCTTCCATGAGCCCCTGCCTGCCTCTGAACCCACAGCAGATGCCCAAGCATGCCTGTCCTTGATGGCAGCCCTGCCTGGTATAGTCCGAAGGGCAGGGAGAAGTATTCTCAGCAAGGTTCAAATTGCTGCTCCCCACTATTTCCAACACATGTGCAAAAAAGCAGAGCATGGTAAGAGCATTTTGTATCTCACATGGCCTAATGAAATTAGAGCTATGGATGAATAACCGTGCATGGACCAAAACTTTGCAGGTAGCGGGAAAACAGCCTCATCCCCACAATCGTCCTTCCAAAATGAATTCTGAAGAAACTTTTGGGAGCCATTTTCAGCCAGTGACTACTGAAAATGTTTTTGATGGTCTCCAGCAGCCTCCCCCAGTCTGATGTTCTCTAGACATTTTAGATGGTAGTTTCCATCATCCTAGACCCCTGGGTTTGTGGGTTGAAGCTGATGGGAGTTGAGCCCCAAAATATCTGAAAGGCACCTGGTTGAGAGAGGCTAGTCTAGGGTTAGCACATTTCACATAAAATATATACTGCATCTGATGGACTTTCCACTAGCAAAAATGATCATCTGTAGGATATTGAGGGATACTGGAATTATTATTGCAACAATCACAGACACATCACTATCACCAGGGCCAGTATTTCCACAATACATAGTTTAACCCCCTCCTCAGATATGAGATGCTAAATTAATTGGATCTTGTGTGCACCAGCACCCAGAGAACTGTGTGCCCCACCTGCCTGATGCCTCCCTTTGAGGACCTCTCCAATCACAGAATCAGTTAGGCAGAGTACTTGGAAGGTCCTGGCCTCTGCTCAGAAGAGAGGTTGGCCAGGGCATTTCTCCAGAGACTGTGGCTCAAATGCCTCGCTGTAAGGGATCCTTCCGCAAAGTACAGCATTGTGGAGCTGCAGCCTTGAGTTCAGGTGACAGTGTGGGCCATCTCCAAGGCCACCTCCTGACCAAACCTCACTCAGCAAGGACACCTCACTGCAAAGCATCACAGAGGCCACCAGTGCTGCCTCCATGTGAGAGCAAGAGATGGATTTTTCTTGTCCTGTGGATTCTGCTGCATCAACTCTGCATAGTCAGCCATGACTGTGATCTGGCAGGAGTGGCGTTGGCATGCAGAATTCTGCTTTTAAAATAGGATGCAATTTCTGTAATTCATCTTTTAAAGTTGGGGAAATTTTACAAATGGTCTTGGGGTGAATAAAGAGGAAGAGAGTTTGGGGATTGGGCTTGGCTAGTGGATACGGCGGTTTCCGGTTTTGGTGCTCCCACGGCCCACCGGACACGTGAAAGTAGCAGACAGCTGGTCATCCTGCTTTTCTGAAAAATGCAAAATCCAACTGTTAATCCAGAACTGGGTCCATCCTGGTGAACCCAGGACAAGCAAAGGATTGATAAAAGTAGATGCAGTATAGTTATGATTTGCACATCTTGAAAAAGTTGTGCATTTTTCAAAATGTGTGCACTTCAAGAGAGTTTTGCATTTTTCAAGTACACATTTTGCAAATGCCAGATTTGTGGACATTTTTGGAGACATGGAACTCCTGTTCATGGCAAGTTCAAGGCTGTGGCCAAGGCTTTTTTGTATGGTTTTCAGATTTTCTATTATTCACATAGAGCCTTAACATAGTCTCTAATATACATGTAGATTTTAGTATAATAATTATGTACAAAAGAGTAAGGCTAACAAAGCATTCTGGATCTAGCTGAATACCCAGATCTTAAGCTAAATGAATTTAGCTTTGAGGGCAACAGAACTGTTCCCTTAAACAGAGGAAGGGGGGAAACACAAAACATGTTTATAACACAAAACATATTCCATGGGTAGTGAATTAAATGAATACCTGAGTATATGCAAGTGATATTAGTCCTATGGAGCAGCCACTCCTTTTCAACTCCTTTTCAGGTACTGCTAATAAAATGTGATGTGCTCATGTATTCCTTGCAGCGGAGTGTAAATACCAGTTCCAGGCCTGGGGAGAATGTGACTTGAACACGGCCTTGAAGACCCGAACTGGAAACCTAAAGCGAGCCCTGCACAATGCAGACTGCCAGAAGACAGTCACCATCTCCAAGCCCTGCGGGAAGCTCACCAAACCCAAACCTCAAGGTAGCCTTCCTTTGGAGAGCATAGTCATGTGGCCTCACCCATCCTCATTCCTAACCCTTTGCCTTGCATGCAGCTGGTCCTTAGTCGAACCCCTGGCATTTCCCATTACAAGGATGCCAAGTGAGGAAAGACCTTGAAGAGCTCTTGGAAGAGCAAAGAAAAGAACTGAGCCTTTATTCATATTCTCATGGAGAAAGGAGAGGAAACAGGATCCTTTACCTAGAGCATTCCAGATGTTTTAGATGACAATTTCCATAAGTCCCAGATGTCAGGAATCCAGCACATCTGGAGGGTACCAAGTTTCCAACCCTGGGTTAGTATGAGGGCTATCAACTGATTAAGGGGAGAATCACATGCCTATTAGATAAAAAATGTCCTACAATTTCCTGCTTGCCTCAGCCCTCCAAATACATCTAGAATCCTGCCCTAAAGTATACTAGTTACTCATCTGCATTTTGAACAACTTGCTGAATTAAGTAATGTAAATGCATTTGTTTATCATCAAAATCTTAAAATAGATACATTTTTAATAAATCATAGAAAATTATCAATGAAAACCACTGTTACCAGAAGTAAAAATTACTGTTGCTATTTTATCTTAACTTGTATAACATGAAATAATACATAAGAATGTCCTCAATCTAAATTTTGATTATAGATTACATCAAAAGTTATCATACAGTTTTCTTTTACTTTTATATTCAGATGATTTCTTCCATACGTGGGCAGTTATGACAATACTACATTGATGTAGACCATAATACTTTGGTATAGACCAGTGGTGGCGAACCTATGGCATGTGTGCCACAGCAGGCATGCAGAGCTCTCTGTCGGCATGTGAGCCAAGTCGCCCCAGATCACCCCAGTAGTCGAGCATCGCAAAACACTGCGCACAGGGGCCATGCACTCGCTCGGAAAGGAGCAGTGGAGCCGGGCAACTGGACAGCTTTTGCATGGCCGGTCAGTGCTCGGCCAAGGATATATATGTATACACATTTGGTTAGACTGGCTGTGTGGTGTTTTTCCTAAATATAACCTCCGTTTTCAGGTTTTATTGGGTCCGGAATGGGCAGAAGGGTAGAACTGTTCAGAAAAAGCTACTCAAGGAAGGCTTTTACAAGATCACCCTCTTTTCAATGGTATTTTAGCCCTGTATTAGCATTAGGGGTGTGCATCAGGGAAGGGTTAGGGTTACAAAAATGAGGTGTGCTGAAATGATTTTGATGATTGGAATGGGTTTAGAATGGGCAGAAATGTTGAGCTGTGCAGAAAGAGCTACTCAAGGAAGGCTTTTGCAAAATCACATTATTTTCAAAGGAAGTTTACCCCTATATTAGGGTTAGGGGTGTGCACCAGTGTAGGGTTAAGGTTTGGAAAACGAGGTGTGCTGGCATGATTCTAATGGTTGGAATCTGTTAAAATGGGCAGAAACGTTCAGCTGTTCTGAAAGAGCTACTCAAGGAAGCCTTTTTCAAAATCGCATTATTTTCAATGGAAGGTTACCCTTATATTAGGGTTTGGGGTGTGCACCAGGGTAGGGTTAGGGTTTGGAAAACGAGGTGTCCTGGCATGATTCTGAAGGTTGGGATGTGTTTAGAATGGGCAGAAATGATGAGTAGTGCAGAAAAAGCTACTCAAGGAAGGCTTTTTGAAAATCACAATATTTTCAATGGAAGGTTACCCCTATATTAGGATTAGTGGTGTGTACCAGTGTGGGTTTAGGGTTTGGCAAACAAGGTGTCCTGGCATGATTCTGATTGTTGGAATGTGTTTATAATGGGCAGAAATATTGAGCTGTGCAGAAAAAGCTACTCAAGGAAGCCTTTTTCAAAATTGCATTATTTTCAATGGAAGGTTACCCCTATATTAGGATTCATCATGTGCAGCAGGGTAGGGTTAAGGATTTAAAAATGTGGTTTCCTGGCATGATTTTGATGGTTGGAATGTTTTTAGAATGGGAAACAATTTTGAGCTATCCAGAAAAAGCTACTCAAAAAGGCTTTTTAAAGATCGCCCTCTTTTCTTTGGCCTTTGTGCACTAGATTATATTAACATAGAATAATATATATTTCCTCATGTCTGATGGAGGGTCCAGGGCAGATGTGTTTTGGCAGAGTGTAAACTCTCCTGCACATCTCTCCATCTGAGCAGTTCAGTTGAGGGAGAGGTTCCACTTGATCAAACACAGTCTTATTTTCTCTAAGGCGGTCCCTGTTATTAGTAAGATAATCTAAAGGATTTGGATGCAAAGGGCTCCTCTGCATGGCTTTGTGTTATTCCTAGATTGTCTGAAACGCACTATTGACAGATTTTACATTGATGGATAATTTACTGCAAGAGGTAAAATCTCCACACTGAAAGAACCCTTCTCCTGTATTGGAATGGCTATACAGAATATAGAATGCTGCCTTAAACATAAAACTGATTTATTTTTGTCAAGGTGTAAAAGGAAAGTCAAACTGATGAAACTTGTAGAAAAATGTACTCTTTTTTAATGTACCAGAGTGAGAAACGTTTTGATGAGATAAATGTGTATGCTTAGTTTGAGTTATATTTGGGATGATCTTCTAATAAGAAGGATGTTATCTGTCCTTCTGTTCCCTTCTTTTAAATTAATACCCTATTTATTCTGTGCTGTATTTTCTTGTATAAACTCCCAAGCTGTTCTAGTTTAAGGGGCCAATCCCCACCTTCATATTTCCTTGTTTCATTCCTTCTCCTTTCTTCATATCTGCTTCTTTCCTTTCCTTTCCTTTCCTTTCCTTTCCTTTCCTTTCCTTTCCTTTCCATTTTATTTATTTTTATTTATTTAAAACATTTCTATGCTGCCCCATTCGCAAAGAGCCTTGAGGCGTCTTACAAATTTTCATTGCTTTGGTTTTAGATTGTGGACCATGAGACTGAGGATCATCATTTAACACTCAGATGAAGCCGTGCCATGCAGTCTTTAGGCACTTTGTTAATAAAATGATGTTAATGTTGTTGCTGAGAATAATAATGCAAATTCATAGTTGACACAAATTCAGAACAGCAGATTGGGAAAAATGTGAAAGAAGTTCATAGAATCATAGAATAGTAGAGTTGGAAGGGGCCGTGAAGGCCATCGAGTCCCACCCCCTGCTGTCACAGGACACCATTTTACACCATCCCACTCAGAGGGCTGTCCAGTTTCTTCTTGAATGCCTCCAGTGTGGGAGAGCCCACCACCTCTCCAGGCAGCTGGTTCCACTGTGATATTGCTCTGACGGTGAGAAAGCTTTTCCTGATGTCCAGCCTGAATCTGGGTTGTCACAACTTGAACTGATTATTCTGTGTCCTACACTCTGGCATCAGCAAGATGAGATCTTGACCTTCCTCTTTGTGACAGCCTTTGAGGTACCTTTAGAGGGATATCATGTCTCCTCTTTCTTCTCTTCTCAAGGCTGAACATGCTCAGTTCTCTCAGTCTCTCCTCACAGGACAATGTTTCCAAACCCTGGATCATTTTTGTTGTCCTCCTCTGGACCCTTTCTAATTTACCTGTATCTCTCTTAAATCTTAGTGCCCAGAACTGAACACTGTATTCCAGGTGAGGTCTGACTAGTGTGGTGTATAGAGGAACTACTACTACTCGTGATATGGAAGTAATACTTCTGTTAATGCATGTGGCCTCCTATAAAATAATCATAGAATAGTAGAGTTGGAAGGGGCCATGAAGGCCATCGAGTCCAACCCCCTGCAGTTGCAGGACACCAAGTTACACCATCCCATTCAGATGGCTGTCCAGTTTCTTTTCGAATGTCTCTAATTTCTTTCTAATTTACCTGCATCTTTCTTAACTCTTGGTGCCCATATATATTCCTTCCAGCTTAATGTCCCATGCAACTGATGAGCTGCCGCAGGCCAGCTTGGGAAAGAGTGCCAAACCCAGAAGCAACATTTAGCGGGTCAGCAGGGGCAGTGTGGCAAGTTCAGCAGTGGTGGGGCACAGGCCACAGTGGCTTGCCAGGACCCCTGACCTCCAGGTGTAGCCCATCCTTGCTTATGGATCTATGGTACCATGCTTCCCCTGTGATGGGGGGTCCTGCTGCCCATTGTGAAAAGACCAGGCTCCCCTCCAGATTTGCCCCCAGTGTTGGGATGGTGAGGTGTGTGGGGCAATGGGAGGATTCCTATGGGGTAAGTCTAGTCCTTGAATTGGCCTTTTGTTTCTAGGGGTCTAGGAATGCATGTGTCTGTGTATCTAATTGCAGTTCTTTTCTGCCATGGCTAGGGAGATGTGAATCAGTAAAGCCCAAGCTCAGCAAAGTTCTCAGAGTTCTACCTTGAAGATCATTCTGATTTAAGTCCGTATCGGATTGCAATCTCTCTCTCTTTCTCTATCTCTCTTTCATGGAATCTATGAACTTTTTTGTCTAAATATATGTAGCTATTGTGCACATCTTTGACACAGATGCATTCTTCTCCCCTTGGTTCAAGTTAATTTGTTCACCATTTTAAAAAGTGCACGTTGTTCCTGCACACAGATCCCCAGTCCTGGCTACTTGGGTTCACGTTTTCCAGTACAGACCTAAAACACCATTTAAAAAAGGCATTGTGTGAACCAGCCTTTGTTCGTCTTGGCAGCCAGTCTATTCAAATTAAAAGCTGAAAGCTGACAAGTGCTCATCAAGCCATCTTCCAGCCTGATGCTATTGTTGGCAAGAGAGGAAAAACTTGAGAAGAATGGGCAGTTAAGCATGCCCTTTGCATCGTTTAAAGAATCATTGTCAAGAAGTCCCTGCACACAGGAAATGGTGCTCTTCAACACAGTCATACCTGTGTCAGTCCAAGATAAATACGGGGATTTTTGATTCTCCCTCATCCTAATTAGCGGAGCCTTTTAATGAACTGTGCAGGTGCATGAGCACACAGGACTGATGGTGCAGGGTGGTGCCTGAACTATGATACCGAAGACAAAATACCTCGTGTTCCTTGCAAAAGGTGCACTGCAGGACAGCTTGTTTACTGGCTCAGATTTT